CGCTTGTTTTGACCTAGTCTTTAACCGTAAATATATGGGCTTGGCTTTTTAAATCCCACAAGGCGGAGATTCTAAGCTTATTTGCATATTTGCACTATAATTTTATAGCTCAAACTTACATAAAGTAATTATTTTAGGGGATACAAATTTCGCTGCTGTGGAACCTTAAAAGGTCCATGTGCTCGTAATTGTTTTCATTTAATGAAAACTTTATAAATTTGCATTGCTAAAATAAGTATAAGTATATGATTCGCATTTAAAAATTATTTAAAGCCTTCAGAGTACAACACAAAATTAATTAGAGAATAATTCGATTTGATGGACTGACAATTATAGCTTAAAAATACGGCACGATCGAAAAAATATTATTTGAATTTATTTTGACATTCGCGCGTGCTAAGTGGTGGCTATAAAATCGTGGCATATATTCGCGGAAAACGCGGACAGAAATTAACATGCAACACGACAGCAGCCGCTGACAGAAAGGATGAGGCAGGGGCAAGGAGAGGGGCAGGAATGGGGCTATATGGGATGGCCGGAGTAGGATCTGCGACGGAGTACGTGGAGTGTCAAGCTGCCAGCGAAAATTCCCGACAAGATTGCACAACAGCAGCATTGTGCTCATATTTAAAATGGCCAACGCCACAATGGGCTCTGCTGGGATGGCAATTGGCCATCGATGTCAGACCTCCAGATATAAAGTATTTCGTGCTTTGTGGATCCACAGTCATCCTACACTGTGAAAATAATCCATAAATGGAAAATGGGATTCCGAATGTAAGTAAAATGCTTTGTACGCCGTACTAAAGTATTAAAAAACAAATCTATACATTAAAAAAAGAAAGACGCGAATTCTTCAGAAGAAATAATAGCACAAGTAAGGTGGAATTAGAAGAGATTTCTTAAAACCATTTTTGAATTTGGACATATTTTGCTTATGTTAAGAAAGGTTTTTAGCCTCTGTTTAGGTAAACAAATGATTTAAAATCAATTGGGGCAAAGGTTTTAAGCATTTAGGAAAAATTCGTAGTTTTTTTTTTTAAAGAAAATTTAGTTTTCAGTGCGTGGGCTCCCAGGAGGCCTGTCAAATGCATCGGTTTCATGGCGGTCCCCAAAGTCGCAGTCGAAGTCCCGGTCGCAGACATTGCGTGAGCACCGTGGCTGCAACTTCAACACCTTCGAAAAGGGGCATCATCATTACCATCATCATCGATAAAATGCATTTGCAAGCGCATTGCATACAAACAGTTTGCTAAATTTATTTATATGTAATGTTCTCGCTCATGCATATTTAATGTCCACGCATTTTCCACTTATTCGCGGAGTAGAGGAACCCGAGGAGTAAAAGATAAAATGCAGTTGCCGTTGGCTTGGCGACCTCAACCCCGGGATCCGCATCTCCACCGGTAGTAGCATCTCCAACAAATAAGTAGCTGCTGTTTGCTCCTCTGGTATCTGCATTTGGGCTTCTGGTTTGCTGGCCAGAACGGTTAGCTGTTTTCGCCTTGTTCTCCTCGTGTAGCGGTTGTCAGCCATCAACTTGGTGAACATCGATTGCTGGTTCTGATTTGGCTGGTTTGCAAGTACTTACTGCTTAGTCAGTGTAAAAGAGGATTAGTAAAACGTATTTTTGAGTGAAATTACCATAATGTGATAATATTTTAAAATATTTAATTTATTTTCTCCTCATTTTGTATTTATAATGTTTTTCCTAACATTTAACTTTATATAGTGTATTCACTACTATCAAGTAAATGCTTTATTGTATAGATTGGTAAATTAAATCGGATTCAAGATTAAAAACAATGGGCAAAAAATTAAACGATGGGTACAATATTTAAATAACTACTTGTATTATATAGTTTATACGAAATATAAAATGTGGATTAAAAATTCACCACATTGAATGTCTGTTGAATTTCGCTTGCTTTTTCACATTTGCGACACAGCGACTTGTACCAGCAACATCTCAATGCTCGAAACTAAAACGCGCAGACCCGTACAACCCCCCATGCGAGTTGTATATAGGAAAGTGTTCCAGGGGCTCATAAATCAAAGTGACATGACCAACTCTCGGCATTAATATTTCAACACCATAAATGCGGCGTCAATTCGCACATGAGAGATGGAGGTGGCTGAAGGAGACGACGTGACAGGGACATGCACAACGATGTCTGCAAAATTGTGTGCATAATAAATAAATATGAAAGGCCTTCATCATGATCGCACATCACATCACATCACACCCAACTGCTCAGAACCAAAACCCCAGTCGACCCCAGTCGATGTTGATTCCAAAGTGCAGCTCACTCCTGGCATCAAATCAAATCAAGACAAGCGTCCAAACATCCAACATGCAACATGAGCAAAGGGAGCCCCGGCCAAAGTCAGACCAACAGAGACACGCTCGACTAATTATGGAAATGTCATCAGACGTTGATAGTTGCCTGTGAGGTCTTCGTCGCCGAAATGGAAAAATACATGCATTTAGTGCGCGCCATTTGCTTGCAATGCCTCGACACATGCGACAATTTCAAGCAGCACTTGGATGGCAATTTATTAAACTCGTGCGACTCCATTTCTCCCGCTCCATTATTTTGTTGGAGAAATTAAAATTTTTGAGCGGGATTCGGTCTGAGGTGACGACAGACACTGGTTAAGGCAGCCAGCGACGCCTCTGAAGTGACAAAAGTTCAGATCGTGGGTGGCAGAGTCAGACAAGACGGTGGCGTTGCCTCCATGCACAATGATATATGGTTTTGTCGGCTGTCATTTGGTTTTGAAAATTATTGTTGTGGCCTGCACTTTGGGTTTGGGTGTCTTTTGTTCATACTCTTTGCGGGCTGTGGGTATAAGCCACTGCACTATTGCAACTGCTTTGATTGTAGATATAAACAGTAAGGTGATTAAAACAGGTGATAACTCTTTCTTAAAATGGAAAAAAATGAAATAGTTTACATAAGTTGGAATCTAAAATTTAAAATTTAATGTCAGTTTTTATACTCTTTTTTCGCCCCATTATTATTAAAATAATTTTTCGTCTTCTTGAAAGTAAGTAGCTTAAAATGAACCCTAAATTACTATTGTAATTCTGTATTATGTACAATGGCACAAAATCCTGTATCCCATATTCGTTTTGACTATCTTTCGCCCAAGTGTTTAGCATTCTGTTGTTTTTTCTTTCATTTGTCTGGCTGCCATGCTGCTGCTGCAATCGTAAATTTCAGTGAATTACGATTTTACCTGCTTTCGCAGAGTGCCAGCATGTCTGCATTTTAAATATGCAGTCAACACTTATCACGAGCGAAGTATAGTCCAACAAGTCGACGATTTTAATGGTCGCCAAGATGGTGGTGATGGTGATGGTGACTAAGTAGGATCACACGACCCCAAGTACAGTGAACACTCGCATCGAAACGTACATCATACCTATATATTCATATATCTGGCACGGGGCTTTCTTTTCCAATTGGCTACCTTAACAATTCACATGCTGCCCCCCAACTATCCAAAAGGACAGTCATATTTTATACGACCTTCTCTTCGTTGTCGGTTTTTTATTTTATGGTTTTATTGTTGCCTTTGCCTTGTAATATTTTTGTATCTTTTGGCGATTTTTCATCTCCATTATTTTGCAGGAAAAATAAATTTGCAAACGGTAGAAGAAATATTTTCACAAAATCCCCAACCAATAAATTTCCACCACCCACATCCACACCCATTCCCTGGTGCCGTTTTCCTTTCTTTCTCCGCGAGTTTGGGTGACAAGTCCAGCCTGGTCGAATGGGTTTCTGGTGGGTTTCGGTGGGAGGTGGGTGGTGGGGGCATCTGCCTCCAATGATAAATGGTCGCGGCTAGAGGGAACTATAATGGCCAGTGCGATGGCGGTGGCTTTCACCTGCGATGTGGTATGAAACAAAATAAAACAAGAATCGGAGGAGAGTATTGCAGAGGAGGGCAAGGGCAAAAGAGATCTTCATCCTCGGCTTGTCAAAAGCACTGAACGTGAACATCACTTATATATAAGCTTCCATGGCCCGTACCACACCCCCATTTCCAGGTGCCCTCTTCCCTTTCAACCCAGAACGATTCTCGACTATATGTGGCGAAATGGACATTTATGAAAGAATTATTGATGCCAACGCCAATATGTGTGTGTGTCTGTGTGTGTGTGTGTGTGTGTGTGTGGGAGGTTTATGGCATATTTTTTATGACTCCCACAGAGGGACAGAGATGGTGACCAGAGTCAGAGTCTGAACCATGGCCTGGCCAGGTCAAAAGGGGGGTTCTCTGGCCCCCCTCCATCGCCGTATAATACAATAAATTGTCAGGTGGGGCGGCTAGCTGTCAAAATGCAGGGGCATAACTCTCTACAAAACCCTCCCCGCCATCTATGGCAAAAACGAAAATTTTAATTTATCGACGCCATATGTGGGCAGTGAGCAGAGGAACTATTGCCAGTCAACTGTGCCCCTTGAGTTCCACCCACTACCCACTGCCCACTTTCCACTTCTTTTTGGGGAAATATAAAATTTGATTTACTGCCATTTCGTGTGTGTGTGTGTGTGTAGCAGTAGCTATTCCAGTAGCTCGGCTGGTATAATTTAGCGGCAAACGTAACCGAAATGTTATGATTTGTGAGCCAATGGATACGTTTACATATATATTTGGTTCGGTCTTGGTCTTGTTTGCCTTTTGGCCATGACTTAAAGCTTTTCCGATACGGTTTTAGGCATCTGGTTTGGTCTGCAGCCAACTGTTTGTGACAGTTTTCCCTGAATAATGAACAGGAAGTCAAGGAAAAGAGCAGATTGAACTTTTAAAACGAGATAATTGTAGGATGTTGAGCTGATTGGTGGATTTGTTTAAATTTGGGGACTTAAATACGGAATCGTATGCACCATAAATACCATACCATGTTATTTGGATCACTAACCATCAGATTATTTTATTTATTACACAATCCCCATTGCAAAAGTATAAAAGAGAAAACTGTTTTGGTATTTAATTTTCTTTGATTTATTGATTTCTTTGTAGTGACTTAATTGAACATTAAAATATTGTTCATAATTACACATTTATGTATAGGTATGTATAGAATTAATTATAAGCAGTTACTCGTATATATATATTTTACAAGAATTTTACAACTTTAAGTTTTTGGACAATCTTTTCATTTCGTTAATTCTGTAATTCTGTTTCGCTTGAATATAATAAATAATATTAAGACTACCATATGCGTTTAGGTAGCAACCACAAAACACACAGACACACAAAGGACGAGCGATATCTGATGTGCTGCACTATATATCATCGATATTCAGATATAAGTATATATATATATTAATATCTAGACGCTAGACTCCTTAAGCTAAGTTGTAAACACATTTGTATGTAACTATAGTACATTAGATCACTAGCTTTTCGTTTCACGAGTGAGTCATATACACCGAAAATCAAAAACACACAGAGAGACGACGACGACGACTCAACAGAAATTATGGTTTTGACTGAGGGCCTGAAGGACTGAATCACGAGCAGGATCAGGATCGGTCTACTATGGATGCGACGACCCCATCCTGGGCCCGTATAACGAGTAGGGCGCAAAGTACTGTGCCAGGGCCGGATGCGGGGGCAGGCCGGGCATACCGGGCGGCGCCAACGAGGGCGGCAGCATCGATGGCTTCCCGTACGGATGATAGCGGGCCGCCGACAGCGGACTCAGCGGCGGGGTGGGGTAGGTGCGCTGGAACAGCGGATGGTTGGGCGGTATGCCGCCGGCGGCCGCTGCACTCAGTACCGCATCCGGCACGGAGGCCGTGTGGGTGCGCAGATGCTGGAACAGGTCGTCGGAGGTGCCGAACCGCTTGCCGCAGTAGGCGGCATCGCTGCCGATCCACGAGCACACGTACGGCATCTGGGTGGCGGCGGCCAGGGCGGCCAGCTGGGCGTGGTACGAGGAGGCAGCCGCCGCCGCCGCCGCTGCCGCCGCACTCGAGGATCCGGACTGACCCTGCGATCCGCCGGACTTGCCAGCACTGCCGTCGCGACCACCGTTGCCCGCCTCGCACTGCGGACAGCCCGCCGGACACGGCTGACCCGCCGCCTTGTTGATGTAGTGCGGACTGGCCGGACATCCCGTGCAGTAGGGATCGCGGCACACGTTGGGCGTGGCCGCCATCATCGACTGCTCCGTGAGGCCCTTCATCCGGGCGTAGTTCAGATACGGATTCATCGCCGACGCCTTGAACATGGCGTGGTGCGGCGACATCAGAGAACTGGCTGTCATCAGGTCCATGGAATAGGGGCTACCGTAACCTGAAAGGCAATTGTATTGGAATTGGTTAGCAAGCAATCTTGTATATTTGCTTATAGTGACTAGAAATTAAAAAAAAGATAAGTCCCTTCATAAAGAACATTCTTTTTATGTTATGTTTATTATGTTTAAAGTTATTTAAGGATCAACCTTTACGGATCTCTTCTATGATGTTCACCATTATAAATTTCATTGAGGCTAATTAAAACAATACATAGGGGTTTGGTGTGGATTCGCGTGTTTTCATATTTGGTTAGATCATAAAAAGTTTCAAGCAAACGAATGTTAAAATAATTTTTTGACTGAAAAGTTAAGGCTTCTATATAGAGCAGATAATTTATATCTGCAAGCTATAGAAGAGCTTAGGTCTTGCATTGTTATTTCAGAACTTCAAATATTTTGTAGTACAACCAAAATTTGTAAGAGGCTTATAACTCGATGTGTATATACACTGATAAAAACTGGAATATCAGAAATAAATATCTGGCTATTAAAACTAAAATTTTAAATTTTATTTTAGTACAAATTCCTAATATACAACACTTTTTAATTAATTAGGAATGCAAATGTTTAATTATGATTACTATTTGTTTTAGCCGCAATATATTTAAGTTTAATATGCTTTGAGATAATAAAATCTATTGCAAAAATAGTGAAATTAAATATGGAAAAAATATTTTTTTATAAAATCAAAAACCCATTGCGGGATAAATATTTAAATTGATTAGATGTCATTTCTTTTATCAGTGTGTGTATAGTAATCCCTGCCGTTCCCAAAATGCATTTGCATTACGCAATTGGTTGCACTCACCGGGCGGATAATAGCCTGCAGATGCGGATCCCTGTTGGCTGGCCGCGTGCAGGGCCTTCACATAGCTGGCCTCCTTTGCGGCGGCCAGAGCGGCCTCCTGCAGGCGATTTGAGCTGGCTATTTGGGCCGCTGCCGCCGCCGCCGCTGCCGCTGCACTGGGACTGTGCATCGTGGCCGACTCTTTGGAATTGCTGCGACCGGGCGTCGTGGAGGATGACGAGGCGGTGGGCTGAAGGCCAGGACTGCCGTTCAGCTGGGCGGCACTGCCCGTGGTGGGGGTCCTCCTGAGACTGCCAGCAGCTGTGGGCGATTCTCGATGCGAGCTTGCACTTTGGTTCGAGTCGCAGCGCTGGCCATGACCACCTCCATTCGAAGTCGATTTGGGGGTCCGCACCCTCTGACCGCCGGCACTACTACTGCTGCTACTGAGATTTGTGGCGCCGCAATCGGCGGCTGTGGTTATGTTGCCGATGCCGATGCTGTTGCTAATGCTGATGTTGTTGTTCGGCTCGTAGGGCTTAAAGGTTGTGGGGGTCGGCTTGCTGCCGTGGGCGGGGGGCAGCTGCTGTTGCTCCACGGAGCCGGTGCTGACGCTGGATGAATGACTGCTAACGGGTGAGGATTTATCGCGTGCACTGCCATCCGTTGATATCTGCTGGCCCAGGCCAAAGGATCCGCCACCCCCGCCGCCACCTCCACCGCCATTGGATCCCTTGGGCTGGTGCTGCAGTTGCTTTGTGGACTTCTCGATGTTGGCCGCCAGCAGCTTGGGGTTTGTGGTATCCGCTCCGATGGCGCTGCATGTTTGGGCCAATAGCGCCAACGGACTGCTTTTGTTGTCCAGCTGCTGGGCAAAACGAAAGGAGAAAAGAAACGAAAAAGAGGGTCTATCAGTACACTGCGTTTGTCTCAGATATCGTGCGTTTTGTGCATCGCCGATAAGATCTCCGCCTTATTGTCTTCTCCTCTACTTTGTTCGGCAAACACTTCTTTGGTTAACTCTGCCCCAGATCTTTATCTTTCGCCACAAAACTGGTGCGATCTGGAAACACTCGTGCAACGCCATTTCTTGCCCTTTTTTGGGCGACATAAATAACAGGCCTGCGGCCATAAATATTTATAATCCCACAACAAAATAAAGGGAATTATGAGGCTATTAAAATGTTTGCCAAAAAAAAGTTGAACGGCAAGATATAGAAACACATTAATTTAATGATGTCAATGTAGTGCTGGAAAAATTCGAACTACACCCTTGGGAGTGTTTGTTTATTTGGTTCGAGGGCACAAACAAATAATAAAGGGCGTATCGTGAAGTTGACATATTTTGTGGTTTGACTTTTATTTTTTTGAAGTAAAAACAACTTTAAAAAAAATTTCCAAACGAAATAAACGACTTTAAATTCCATTGCAAACTTCTGTAAATCATTAAATAATTTCTTTGTTTAATCAAATTGCTTCCTTTACCAAACTTAATCCATCTCACGCGTTTTCTATAATTATATGCACAGCTCATATCAATAAAATGTAATCAGCGTTCATCGGGTTTTATGACCATTTCCAATTGAGCAATTAGGCTAATGAAATTATTAGCCATTTGTGATATATTGAGCAATAAACAAGTGCCAAAGTTATGTCTGAGATAGTGGTGGTGTTCTACAAATGGGGTTGAGTTTGGAAGGCTTAATAAAATACTATAGAAATTTAAGGCATTTAATTAAAGGGCAAAGGCTTTTATTAATTAAATAATAGTTTTATGTGATCAATTTAATTTTGGTATTTAATCGGAGGAAATATGAGCTTTTGATATCTTGAATCCGACTACAAATATTGCTTATTATATTATAATTACAAAAAATTATAAAATTTAAAGAGCAATGGAAAATTTTTGGAAAAAAAACCCATAATTGTGACCCATAATTGTGGATGACTTTATGCTTATTGCTTATCAATTGAGTTTTTCGAATTATGATTATTGGGTAATTTCAACCATTCTATATATTTAGTAGGCTTATAAAACGATCGTATATATCAGCATTTAGAGCCATGGGAGTGAATATTACCGATTGAGTAGTACAAAGCGGGATCGAACGAGTGCCGACACACAAGCTGCAATTGCAGGCGATCGTAGTTATAACTTATAAGTACACATAAATGAAATGAATATTGCCCACTCACAGTTTGTGCCATAAACACGAAACACGGTTTTTGCAATAAAATCCATTTCGCCGCATGCCATAAATTATGGCCAGAAGAAGAAGAAGAGGAAGGAGGAAAAGCGGAAAGGGAAAACCCAAAACTGAGGCGAGAGTTGAACGTTCATAACTCATCGCCCAACTACAATCCATACACACACAAACACACAGGGCCACATCGAAAATAATGACGTACACTCACTGTGTGTATAGTATGTATGTATGCGAGCGTAATTACGCTTATGCCCAACTGGCGCAAGTCGTAAACTACAAAATATTGAAGCTTTTATAACACTCAATGGGCCGCCATAAATTATTATGATACTATTGTAAAAATGGCAAAATTTCTTATCGGTACTTAAGAGTACTTTGGATGCCCTGTAATCAGAGTGCTTGTGTGTGCACATGAAAGAAGTAACAATCATTTTTTGTTTCAGGGGATTATTATGTTAAATGGAAAGAATGAAAAGACTGTTTGGTCTTAATAAGAAAGGTATTTACTTTAAAACTCTTGTTTTTATTTACTAATAATAATTTAGGTTTGGTTAAGATAAATGTACATCTGCTATTACATTTTCTTTTATATTTTGATTGCACTATAATGGAATTTTCCTTTTTTTTTTTGGTAAATGGTAATTTGAAAATTTATTAGGTTCTATATGAGCTGAGATTAAAATGATCTTTTAATAAGATAAAATATGACTTCTGAATTATTAAATTTAAATATTATTTTTTGTAATTCCACCTTTTTTTGTATTACTTACTAATAAACCATTTATACTTTGAACTAAAAAATACAGTGTATAACCTTAGTCAACCAATAGAATGGCCTCTTTATATTTATTCGATTTGAATTTGTGTGGATATACCCAAAGACCACCCCTCAAATCCCACTCCTCATCAACAGTTTATTAATTATTGGCGCAAACAGAGGGGCGGACAGAACTCACCCCATTCGTCTCGTTTTTAGCACAATTAGTCATAATTTATTATCATGTTGATAAAGTTTCCGTATTGATTTTCGGTATTACGCATATTCGTGTCGCACATTTTGTGTTTTGTTTGTGATTTAGTTTATAAATATTTCCCAGCCCCAGCCGCATGAACGTATGTACTTTTGTGCAGATAGAATGAGCCATATGGGGCTTGTTTAATTTACGATTGGACAATAGCTTCATAAACCGTAGATATATTTAATTTATACATATATGTGAACGTCAATTGACTTGTGCGGAGCGAAATGGAAGTATTACTCTGTCTCTGACCTGTTCGTATAATAATTGAGGCCAAGTTGTGGGTAATTATACAAATCAACTTCCACTGTAGTGTGACTTAGCCTATCGAAAATTGTTATTAAATGGTATTGAACGTTTTTTTTTTATGAACATGCTAAAATTTGAGACTATATAACTATGAAAAATACTTATTTTTAACACTTAATTAGCTCCTAAAAGCAAATGAAAAATACAAAAAAGACGAAAAAACGTAATACGTATAAATTATAAGTATTGTGATAATTAAAATGTTACACCTTGTGAAAAATGTGTATACAAAACATCGACACTAACAAGGTAAGCAAACAACAACCTGAGTACGGCAATAAAAACAAGTGACTACGACAACAACAGTAGTCATGGCTGAGCAAGTTGGAAATGAAACCTCAACTGAAATGCATTTAGTTATGCCTTTGCACAATCAAGTCACAGCCGCTTGTTAAATGCGTATAATTTAATTAGACACTTTGAACTAAACACACTCAGCTGTCATGATTTGATTTGATTTATTATCGTTTGTGCACATATTTTTAATGCTAATTTTATTTTAAAGGTGTGTAGAGTTGGGTATGTGAGAAAAGGAATGGCCTGTGACACCTAGACCTGGATTTGAGTTGGAAAATGGTTTACCACACTACTGATATAATAAAAATTATTAATTAAATTATGCATTTGTAGACTAACTTCTTTATATAAAGAGCTTTTAAAACCTACCATTTAAAATGGTTCTCAAATTGGTCCGCTATGATCCTAACCATAGCAACCATTTATCATCACGCTGCTAAAGTTATTTGCTTAACATTTCACACAAGTGTCACAAACAAATGCCTCAAGTATTATACAAATTAACAAGAAAAGCTAAATGTGTCAAACTATTTTATAGTGCCCTAAGCTACTTCCCCGCCAACCCCTTGAATACACTCAACATTTGAGAAGTGTGACACATCGACATACTTAAGTCATCATCGCACGTAGACTTGAAACAATAAAAGAGTCTTTGGTAAATAAAAGTAAAGTAAATTATAAACAAATAAAAGCGGCACGCGAAGCTTTTGGGTTGAGCAAGGGAAGAGGTCGAAGGGAAAAGCGTGTGGCTCACGCACTCGAAGGCCCTTGAAAAATCATACTTTATGTTAATATGACAAACAAAATGTTGAAACTTTGTATGCATCGTTTTTTTTTGTTGTTCGTGAAACAATGACATGACAGCCAAGTTTAATTCGGGTTGGAACGAGGAGGGTCATACAACGTAAGTTGGTAACAGACAAGTTGAATTGTTGACTTTGGCTTGTTGCTTCTCAAATTGAAACTTTTGATCGATTCACTTTTGAAGCTTTGCCGAAAGGTGTTGCTTTTTGTAGGGTATTGTGATTTGATTGAAAGAGAGTACTCTTCAATCATTATTTAAGAGGTTTATTTTCGGGGAAAAATAAAGTAAAGTAGCTTTAATATTATGTTACTTGCAAGATATTTGATTTATTGCTAGTCAACAGCAATAAAAGTTATCTATAATGGACTTTGAGATCTATTCAGTCGCCACTTCTTTTTTTCGTTGGACCACATTTTGCTGGCAATATTTTGTAAAATGCAATTTTCAAGATTCAGCGGCTCAGGAAATTTCTTTCCCTCGCACACATTACGATACAGAAATAGCTGCTATAAATATGAATTACAGGATAAGCATAAAAAGCGGAAATTGTGTGCCGCCGCCATCGTCGACGACGCTTTGCATAAGCCAAAGGCAACGTCTTTAGCAGACCTTTCCCCCAAACCCAAACCCATTCCCATCCCCATTCCCAAATCCAAGCCCAACCCAACCCCTGACTCAGTTTTTTAAGACGCCCTTGCAGTTTTGCTGGGGAATTATAAAATAAGCGATAAAAATGGTATAAAACTTTATGCAGACTTTGTATTTTCCTCTCTTTCTTTTCTTACGGCCCCTTCTCTTTCTATCCCATTCCGTTTATAACATTGGGAGTGGGCACTCTGTCGTTATACATATTATGCATGTATATTATATCATTCAGCCTGTTAACACCTTTTTGTATACGCTTACTTATATACATTTTTTTTTCGTTTGGGTGATAATAAATTTTGCTTGCCTGGGTAAAAGAAGAACAAATATAAATGTATAAGAAAAATTTGCATAAATGGCTATAAAAATATTAAGGGCTTTGGGCCCAAGTTGAATTAAATGATTCATCTAGAGCTGTGATATTGTAGGGAGGGCAGTTGAAATTGGGAGTTATGTGAAAATTAGCTGTTTCCTAAATACAAAACTGAGCCCTAAAATAATAATAATAATGCTTAACATCCATACCAAAACATTTATTTTTATAACAAGAATTGAGTTGTCAACATTTTTGGTTTCCAGAATGGCT